TATGGCAATTATGCTAAGAATTAAAATGGCGTGTAATTGTGAGGGTAAAGTAATTATGGTAGGATCAAATGGTATTGCTAAATCACAAAAACCTCCTAAAACACACTGTAGAAAACCAAACAATTCAATTAAATATTTATAAGAACCTATTTTTTGGTTAAAATGTTTATTTTTTTGGTGAAAAAATACTTGCAAATACACCACAATCCTCCAAACACATTGCGAACCCCATCCAAATTACTATTAATTTGTAGAACTCTCCTTTTCTAAAAAAAAAAAAATAATAATTTGATGTTCATATAAACTCATTGTTTGTGGGGTTTACCAATACCCGGATTGAATTTCTGGAAAATTGTGATTCCGCTTCCTTGAAATTGGCCACAAATAAATTATTTTAGTATTAATAAATGCATGATTTATGTTGATTTATTGATTATGTTGTTGCTATTTTTAACATTTAAATGGAAAAAAAAAAAGTGTTATTCATGGCTTTTTTTTTTATCTTTGAATATTTTATCATTGAATATGTAATTTCTGCAAAAAGTAAAATGTAAATGGCAATTTTTTTGATGTTAGATTCCTTTTAAAAACTAAATTATTTCAGTTTAAAAAAATACATGATTTAAAAAAAAATCAGTTTTAATACAGAATTTTATTATTGGGGCCATTTTTACCTACCTGTCACTTGGGGCCATTTTTACCAGGGCAATTTTTACCGGGGCCATTTTTTCCGGGGCCATTTTTACTGGGGCAATTTTTTCCGGGGCCATTCTTACCATACACCGGTCAGTGCAGGTTGTGAATATGAATCAAAAATCTAATCTGAAACTTATAAGCATTGTACTGTCTGTGTGTTTGATTTACTATAGTGACCTAACATACAGTAACCTCACAAGATACATACAAAAATCCTCCAATTTAAATGTTATTCTTGCACAGAATATTATACTAAACCATTAAAAACTAGTATAAATCTTCATCTTCATTTACAGGATATTTTCTTACTCAAATTTAATTCACAGGCATTCCAAGCATATTTTCAGACTCTTCTGGTCTTTGTGATGAAGGTAATACAAAGTCATTCTTTATTATTATTTTTTTTTACTTGACATTTAATTTTATTTTACCACAAGACTACAAACGTGATGGAATTTAACTTGCTGAATTAAGATTATATAAAAATATTATTATGTGCATACAACCTGGGTCTTAATAAAACAGCAGCATACAGGAGAAATAAGAGATTAATAATCTAAGATTTATTAAGGGGAGGCCACTTGAGGTGCGAGGCACCGAGCAGGGGGTGGGGGTTTGTCGGTTAAGACATTTTTTTGTCGTTTTGTCAATTGTCTCGTCATGCAAGTATTTTATGACATAGACCTATGCCTACAACATATGAGGAAAACGAACATTCATACAAATTCTCCAACTCTACTCTCACTCCAAAATTTATCATTTGCTGAAAAACTATTACGGCCATTTGTAGGGAAACCAGTAGTTCTGCAATTTACCAAAGGAAAGAGGCATTAAATTCAATACACAATATTTTTTTTTTTTTAAACAAATCTTGACTTTATAAGTTGAATTTCTGCACAGGTCTATAACATAAATCTATCAAACAGAAAATATCCACCTTTTCATAAATGATATCATCATTTTTTATAATAACTATATTACCATAAGGCTATTTATTATGAAAACTAAAAATTGAATGCGTGTTGAAACTGGAGCTAAACAGATCTTTATTTAAGTGCAGCACCTGTAGTTTGATTCTACATGGAATTAACCTACTCATCATGTTGTATGGTTTTTTTGTATTTGGTAGGCAATAGCCTTAAAGTACTGTATTTATAATAATAATAATAATAATAATAATAAAATAATAATAATAGTGTATATCTGTATAGCGCCGCTATCCATCAAACAAGATGCTCATGGCGCTTGATATGTGTTCTAGAAACGCAATAAATTGATATTTTACAAAACAGTTTTGCAGAAAGAGGATAAAAGGATATTTTGATTGTAATGTATCAGTTTCCAACCTTTTAATTACATCTACAATATTATGAAAACTGTTATGAACCCCATGCTTCGTGTCTGTCTGTGGGTTCCATGATTTCACTTTTCATTCATGGTTATTGTCAAGACGTATTCTGTCTGACTTTTTACATGCAACAAAACGGAATGTTGACAATAAAAAAGGTAGACAACAGGTCTGCATCATGTTTTGTCTAGGGCCTAGCTAGCCTTGGAAGAAAGCCTAGCCTAGCCCCAAACTTTAGAGCTCTAAAATTTGGGAATTTTTTTTTGGAGAATGAAGGCTAGACATGCTATTCATCCCCCTCCCCTAAATTCACCACTGCTTAATAACATAGATGTATTAATAATACAGATACTGTATTTAAGGTACAGTATAATTATTAAATTGTTGAGTAGATATTATGATTATTATCATTATAATCATTTATAATTAAATATCATATCATATTCCACAAATAAGATTATAGATAGAAGATGATTCACCATAGAAGTGCATCAATTGTTATGTCTATGATACTTCTTTAGATGGACGGAAATGGCACTGTTAGACTCAAAATTTGAATGTAATTTTCTTTTATCCTACATTTATTTTTAATTTTGTAAATTTAAAGGCCCCCTTGCCCCAATTATTCTGCGTATGTCACACTGTTGTAAGATAAACAAAATAATGGAATCGTGAAAAATTGGTCTATAAATCTAGCGGACACCACAAAATGTTTTGTGGACCCTTTTGACTTGGCAGTTTGTAACCTGTTAATAATTGATATTTTTGTTTTATTCTCCTCTTTGCTACATACTATTTTTATAATAATTATTATTGTCTTTGACGATTATATATTTCATTTTCTGTTTGTCTTTCTTCACTGTATTTAATATAAAGCATTGCAATGAAGACCTGTGCTTTGTGTGGAACGAAATTGACTTAAAATGCATAATAGAAGTCTGATCTGTACTCATAAAACATGATTTTACGAATCCCCAGATTTACGTACACCCTAAATCCCGTACCATGCGTAAAATTGACGTTCTACTGTACTCATAAAACTCATAAATAAAGATTTTATTGCAGTTATTGAGCTCCATTCCAGTTGAAGTCACACGTTGATTAACATTTTATGTAAACATCTTTTCTACAGACAAGGTTATTAGAGAATATCTACTAAGTAGACAACAGAGAGTGTGCAGCACTGGCAGATGGTTTACACCAGCAACTTGGAATACTGCATACCATTTAGACATTGCTGACATGTTCACTGACCTAGACTTACTCAAAGAAGGTAAAAACAGAGAAAAGAAAGATGCCAAGCCAACAACTTTGAAAGAGGTTTTAGATATTATAAAATCAACATCTGCACGTAAAGTTCTAATAGAAGGTGAGGGCGGTATCGGCAAATCAACCCTCCTCAGGTATGTAGCATACGAATGGTCCACAGAGCAATCCGATGAAATGTTCAAAGGTAAAATAGTGTTTCTTGTCAACATCCGAGATATTGATGTAGGTGAAACTATTTTGGATGCTATTTTGAAACAAATAGACCCTGAGGATTTTCATCTTGAAACAGGTTTTTCTCATAATCCTATATTAATAAAACGATTTATTCAAAAACACAGTGATATCGTATTGTTATTGGATGGATTAGATGAATTGAAAGATGGTAGTGGGAGTCCAATAAGCATTTTCAAAAATGAAAAAATGTACAAGTGTAAAGTGATACTTACATCACGATCTGAAAACCTCAATGAGTTCGTTAAATATAGCAACGTACATGTGAAAGTAAAGGGATTTGATAGTGTTCATATTGAAAAATACATTAAGAAACATTTTGCTTTCTTTAAAAAAACTGAATTAGGAGACTTGCTAATTGAGGAGTTATCCTATAATATGGTAGTACGTGATATGTGTAAGAATCCAATGTTGCTTCTGTTAGTATGTATCACATGGGAAGAAAAGAAACACCTTCCAGCTGACAAAGCTGACCTCTTTAAAGATATTTTTAGATGCATCTTGAATCGGTTCATTGACAAACAAGCAGTTAAAGAGAAAAAAATCTCAGTATTTGAAAATACTCCAAAGAAGTTTGTAAAGGCAATGCTTCTGTTAGGAAAGTGTTTCTGTAAAAGCTTAAAGAAAAACCAACTTTCAATTAACAAAAGAGATTTGAAAGGACCACAAGAAATGGTTGCACTGGCTTTAAAACTGGGATTTGTGTATGAAGATACACCAAATCAGAAATCTGATTTTGAAGAGATTTTTACAACTCCTCACAAGTTGATAGTAGAGTCATTAGTAGGGTTTTACTTATATAAACTATGTCAGACAGAAATGTTGGAGAATGAGTGTTCAAAGGGCATGGAAATGCTGCTTAAGCCATTGGCTGATAATGAATGGCAAATGATAAGAAGAAGTGAAAATTTTCACATGGCAAGGGTGTTTACAATTGGATTCCTGGGTGCCAAGTCTGGCATATTTTTGAGTCATTGGATAACTAATGATATCTCAGCATATCATTCTTTAATGACATATTTAGAATTTGTAAAAGAAGAGCACATGGATACTGTAGATGAGGGATTGCACTTTGTCTGGTGATATTATAAATGATATGATTAGAGAGTGTTCAAGTAGAGGAGTCAAGTTGAAATTATGGGACCTTGATATCAGTAATAATAATCTCAGTAACATTGATGGCTCTTCATTTTCATCCTTATTTATTATTACACCTAAACTGAATAAGCTTGACCTGAGGGATTGCACTTTGTCTGGTGATATTATGAATGACATGATTAGAGAGTGTTCAAGTAGAGGAGTCACGTTGGAATTATGGAAGCTTAATATCAGTAATAATAATCTCAGTAACATTGATGGTTCTTCATTTTCATCCTTATTTATTACACCTAAACTGAATAGGCTTATGCTGAGCAATTGCACTTTGTCTGGTGATATTATAAATGATATGATTAGAGAGTGTTCAAGTAGAGGAGTCAAGTTGGAATTAGAGAGTCTTAATATCACTAATAATAATCTCAGTAATAATAATCTCAGTAACATTGATGGTTCTTCATTTGCATCCTTATTTATTACACCTAAACTGAATATGCTTGACCTGAGCAATTGCACTTTGTCTGGTGATATTATGAATGACATGATTAGAGAGTGTTCAAGTAGAGGAGTCACGTTGGAATTATGGAAGCTTAATATCAGTAATAATAATCTCAGTAACATTGATGGTTCTTCATTTTCATCCATATTTATTACACCTAAACTGAATATGCTTGACCTGAGCAATTGCACTTTGTCTGGTGATATTATGAATGACATGATTAGAGAGTGTTCAAGTAGAGGAGTCACGTTGGAATTATGGAAGCTTAATATCAGTAGTAATAATCTCAGTAACACTGATGGCTCTTCATTTTCATCCTTATTTATTACTCCTAAACTGAAGCATCTGTACATGAGTAATTGCAGTCTCTCAGGTGATACAATGAATATTATTAGAGAGTGGTGTTCTAGTAGAAAAGTCAATTTTGAATTATAACAGCTTTACACCATTCAATTGTTCCAGTAGAAGAGTGAAGTTGGAAGTAGCTTTATATCAGTGGTAATAATCTTGGTAACATTTGGTTTTTTAGACTACAATAAGGCAAAAGATAATAGTTATCCTACCTTTTTACAATCTGCAACTTAACCCTTTGGCAAGACAAGAGGTTTTGTGAGGTAAAAATGACCAAATTTGATCGTTGCTGTCTCGCCACTTAGATAAAAAGAAAAAGCAGCCTTCATTTTAAACAATTTAGAGTTACTTTACTTTCTAATGACTGAAAGAATAAATAATTTACTCATAAATAAGTACAGGCCTACTCAATTAATTTAATTAAATATTATTATGTAAATAATTAAATGAATAAGCTAAATGTGAATACTTGTATAGTTTATGAACTTGTATTTATTAAACCATAAATGATTAAATAAATATTGTAGTAAATTGGCCTACTCAATTACTGCTCTTTGTATATAAATAATTAAATAAGTTACACAATAGTACATAGGCCTACTCAATTACTACCGTCTGTATTATATATTATTAAATAAGTTACACAATACTACATAGGCCCTATCAATTACTACTATCTGTATTATAAATTTTTAAATAAGTTACACAATAGTACATAGGCCTACTCAATTGCTACGGTCTGTATTATGAGTAAATAATTTACACAGTAGTACATAGGCCTACTCAATTACTAATGTCTGTATTGATTAAATAAGTTACACAATAGTACATAGGCCTACTCAATTACTACTGTCTGTATTATAAATGATTAAATAAGTTACACAGTAGTACATATGTGAACTCAATTACTGTTGTCTGTATTATAAATGATTACATATACCCGACCCCATTACGAAAATATTAGTAAAGACCTCTTGGTAGTGTAATATTCTTCCATTTTTAGACCCCATTAAAATACATATCAGTTATTAAATGAGTCTTAAGCACCAAGTTGTTAAATGTTAAAATTAAATTCATTCCGTAAAAACATTGAAACAAAAATTTTGTTTAACTTTGCTTAGTAAATTAGTGGCCATTATATATTATTATAGTGCTGGCAACCAATAATGAATGTTGTCAGATTAAAATAATGGAAATCAACCAATGATAAATATAAAATTTAAAAGCTGCTTTAGGTAAATATTTTCTTAAAATAGTATTTTTATAAAATATATTGTTACGAAACACTACAGTACTTCAGTAAACTGTAGAACCACCAATTAAGGGGACACCTTCTTCAGGGGATACAAACAAAAGTGAGAAATTGTAACGTTTTATAAGGGGTGTTGGTATAATGTTTTCAAAATTATGAAATTTTTATTGACCTAAAAATGAGTTACAGTAGAATTATATAAATAATTTATATCAATAGAGTAATTTGCTATGCAAAATTCATTTAAATATGTAATCAGCAGTAATGTACTTAAAACTACAATAGTTGCCGTATATTATTATGTTCCCATATTTTGTGATGCGAATTTAATGACCAAATATTCTTCTTTTTTTTTTCAAATGACCAAATATTTTTTTTCTTTTTTAAATATTGAGCTTTATATTAGTGTCAAAATATAAAGTTGAAAGATTTTATATTTTAAGACTGCTGTAGTTTTTGTCATACTATACATTAAAAAAAAATTTTCCCTTCATAGGGATTAAATATGCATTGATTTGACCATTTGGCACACCCAGAGAGTGTTCCCATCCCCTTAATAAGGGTTGGCTGTAGTGTTAAAAGATGTTTCACCTAATTTCACAGAAAAGTGAAGAAGAATAGGGGTGTCTCAAAGTAGGATTCTACTGTATTGGTCATATATTTTGTATCTTGGACAACATTTCTATAACTGGAGGGCGTGGGAAGCTATGACAACAAATTCTGGGTCCTAAGAAGTAGTAGTTAAAACGACTTGGAATTGGCAAGTCAGTTATTGGGTTTGTTCGTTAGACAAGTTTGTGCATAATATATCGGAGTTTCAAGGAAATCTGAAATGGTATCCAGCCATCCCATTTGTTAAGTTGGCAAATATTTACATTCATAATAAGTATAAATAAGTAAATCAGTAACTTTACATTATATATATTGTACATAACAATTATAATAAGTTAAACATAAGTTTAATAATAATTAATTGTATTTACATACTTACCATTATAATCATTTTAAATTAATGTTCATATACAGTATTATGAGTTCTGTACATTATTTGTAAAATTCTATTGTATTTGTATTATTTTTATTTTATAAATATATAAGAATATGATAAACTCTTTCATATTACAAAACAGAATTTTGAGTTTGATGTTTTTTACATTTATAATAAAAGAAATACTGCCAAAATTCAAATGTATTTTTTTCTTTAATATCAGCAACGTTCTTACAGCACATAAGCATTTGTAACTGTAAACAAAATAATTTCGGTGTTGACTAGTTTACAAACGACCACTAACAAGGCACTGACGGGTAATAATGTGGAAATGTGGTCTCAGGCTTAGTTGTGTACAGCGCTAGATTAAAACCTATATATTGATTTTTTTTACGTAGAAAGGGGGTCTCTCGCATCATCATCTGATAATACTGAATGTTCTAGATGTAAAAGACAGGCTTTTTTGTGCAAATTTTCCATTTTGGCAAATAAAAACATGCATATTCTATACAATCTGTAAAACCTGACCATCCATTGCGAAGATGTTGGGATCTATTTTAGAGCTAATTTGCAGAGAAATTTATGACTATGGTGTGGTTACAGATTTCCATCCCTTCTGTTCCAGCATGGAATTTTTAATTATAGCGAATAGAAACGTGGGCCTTCTGAACAGTTTAGTACCAAAACAAATTCTGTATGACCAAAATTAACTGAAATACAGAATGATAGTATTTTTTTGATAAAAATGGATGCTTTCACATAAAATCCGCAATTTTATTCTTAGATGAAAGAATTCACTTGGCATCCACCAGATTTATAATCAGTAAGTCTAAATATATCTATTGAAGTGGACTCCAGCTTCTAATTAAACACGTCTACTGCATCATAAATTTTTGGAATTGGAAACCGTTTTATTTGTGATTTGTCAGTTTTAATTTTTTATGAAATATGTTAATAATTGTTATTAATAATTTTAAAAGTTGATAATATATAGTTATAAATGAAATATAAACAATCCAGTAAAAATTAAAAGGTAAGGCGGGACAGCTAGTGGAGATTTGTCAGGGATAAAAAAAATTAATCATTTAGACGTCGATACAAAAAATGCCATCTTTAGGTCAATGTGCCCGTATGAGCATCTAGCAGCTTATTTTAAAAAATGTTCTCATTGGGGAGGGGGACATCTCCTTCCAAACCTTTTCCCGGCCCGTCCTATGGCCCTCGGATGGTGTTACACACCAAAGTATAACTCTTGCTCTGCTGTCTAGGAAATCACGATGT